ACGTATCTTGTACATCTTTGGTCAGATTTACCCCTACATATTTTATATTTTTGATGCTATTGTAAAATATATTGCTTTTTACATTTTCATTTCCAATTGTTTATTGCTGGTATATTGAAATACACTTTTAAAAACTTGTGGTAAAATACACATAATATAAAATTTACTGTCTTGGCCATTTTTAAATGTATAGTTTAGCGGTGTTAAGTACATTCACAGTGTTGTGAGACCATTACCATCCACCTCCAGACTCTTTTCATCTTACAAGGCTGAAATTCTTAAATCATTAAATAATAACTCTCCATTTACTCGGCCCCTCGGCCCCTGGCAACCACCATTCTACTTTCTATCTCTATGAATTTACTTACTCTAGTTACCTCATATAAGTGGTATCATATATTTTTTGTCTTTTTGTGACTGGCTTATTTCACTTAGTTCACATAATGTTCATGTATGTTATAGCATGTCAGAATTTCCTTCCTTTCTAAAAGTGAATAATATTCCGTTATATATACTATGTGTATATATATGTTATATATCATATTTTGTTTATCCATTCATCCATCAATGGGCATTTGGTTGCTTCTACCTCTTGGCTCTTGTGAATATTGCTGCTACGAATAAGGATGCACCAATTATCTTTAAGACCCTGCTTTCATTTCTTTGGGATACATGCTCAGAAGTAGGATCGTTGGATCCTATGGTAGTTTTATTTCTAATTTTTTGAGGCACCACCATACTATTTTCCACAGTGGGTGCAACAATTTACATCCCCAACAATGCACAAGGGTTCCAATTTCTCCACATCCTCATCTACACTTGCTATTTTCTGTTTTGTTTTTTTCATTTATAGTAGACATTCTAATGGGTGTGAGGTGGTATCTGAGATTTTGATTTTGCATTTCCCTAATGACTAGTGATGTTGAGCATCTTTCATGAGCTTATTGGCCATTTATATATCTTTTTTGGCAAAATGTCAATTCAAGTCCTTTGCCCATTTTTAAAAGTCAGATTGTTTTACACTTGATATTTGTATATTGATCTTATGTCCTGCAACTGTGATAAACATTAATTCTAGTAGTTGTTTGTAGATTCTGTAGGATTTCCTAGATAGAAAATCATGTCATCGATGCGTAGAGTTTTATTTATTTATTTCCAATCTGGATGACTTTTTATTTTCTTGACTTACTGATCTGTCTAGAATCTAGGGCACAGCATTGAACAGAAGTGGTGACAGCAGACACCTTTGCCTTGATCATGTCTTAAAGGGAAAATATTGGTCTTTCACTATTAAGTATCATGTTAATTGTAGATTTTTCATAAATGCCCTTTATCAGTGTGAGAAGGTTCCCTTTTATTCCTAGTTTGCTGAGAGATTTTTATCAGGAATAAATTGGGTTGTCGGAAAAGTCATGACATATTTTGTCTATGTTTTTCATTGCAAAAATGCATGATGACTTTTCCAACAACCCAATATGTTGGGTTTTGCCAATTACTTTTTCTGTATCTGCTGCTATGATCATATGATTTTTTTCTATTTTAGTTTACTAATGTGGTGAATTACATTGATCGATTTTTCAAATGCTAAATCAGCCTTGCATTCCTGGGATTAAACCCAGTTGGTCATAATATATTATCCATTATACAATATATAATGTCAGATTCAATTTGCTAAAATTGACCAAAAGCCAGTAGAAAGAATATACATAGAAATAGACCCACAGAAGATCTAGTTATTATATGATCAGAAAGAGATTTAAAATACCTAGGATTATATGTTCAAGAAAGTATAGGCAAAGGTGGAGAAAATAAAAAGATGGAGAATTGCTTCAAATGAATTGGATTTTATTTTTTAAAAATCATATGAAAATTCTACAACTTAAAAATGCAATGACTGATATTAAGAACTCAATAAATAGATTTAAGAGAAGATTTAGGTAGATGGGTACAAAATATACAGACTCATGCACAAGGAGAGAGGTAAAAAAGATGGTAGTAAATACAGATGGTAAAAAATGAAAAATTCTGACATATGCATAATTGAAGTCTGAAAAGGAAAAAAGAGATAAGAAGAGATAGGACCAAGAATTTTCTAAAACAGATAAAAGATATCAAGCTACAAATTCAAAGGACTCCATGAGTGGCACTTATGCCACTCATGAACCCAAGTGGGATGAATACAAAGAAAACCACATCTAGACATATCACAGATTAATTGTGGAAAACTAAAGGAAAAAATGCTAAAAGGAACCAGAGGAAATAAGATATTAGTTTTCAAAAGAGTAACAAAGGAATGATGGAAACCAGAAGACAATAAAAGGACATCTTTAAAATGCTGGGAAAAATAAATTATCAAACTAGAATGCTATACTCAGCAAAAATATGAAAGATGAAATAAAGTTTCTAGGCAAACAAAAATGGAGAGAACTTGTCACCAGCAGACCTACTATGAACAGAGGAATTATTGAGAAAGAAGGAAAAAATGCCAGTCAGAGGCACAAAAATGTATATTGGAACAAGGAGCAACATAAAGGGTAAATAAATATGTAGGTGAATATAATGAATATTGACTGTAGAGAACAAATAATTGTAAAATCTTGTGTGGCTTAAAATACTGGGGGTGCCAAAAAAATGTACACAAGTGGACACTTTGGTGAATGTTGCTCAAGCAGTAGTTTGCCATAAGCAGAAGCGTTTGTATGCTGGTAACCACTTTGAGCGCCTCTTGTAATTGTAGGTCACATGTAACTTGTATTCATTATTTCTTATCAGTATATATTGAGTATTATAATTTTAATACAGTTTTCCTTTCTTAAAATGTGTGTACATTTTTTGGCACCCTCTGTATATGCACTATTATAATCCATGACAACAAAAAACACAAAGTGGAAGGGTAGTGGAGACATAGTATTCTAAGGTCTTAGCATTCTTGGGGAGGTGGTATAAGTAATCATTTATATTTGAGTGTAATAAGTCAAACAGGCATGTTGTAATTGCTAAGATTTCTAAAAGAATGTAAAACTAAGCTAACAGAGGTTAATGGTATAATTAAAATATTTTAATTAGTTCGAAAGAAGGCAAGAAAGAGAATAAGGGATATACGGTAAGTGGACAGAAGAAAATAAATAGCAAGATGGCAGGTAGAAATCCAAATACAGCAGTAATTATATTAAATGTAAATGGACAAAAAGTGTTTCTTGTTGAAACAAGGATAGAGCAAACTTCCAATTTTAGGCTTAGCTAGACTCAGCATAAAAATGTAATTACCAACTACAATTGAAAAGGCAAGGATTCCTAGTGCAAAATGTGGAAGAGGGAAATAACATAGCTGGAAACCCTGCAGGGCTGAATTCTGAGTCAAGTTTCTGAAGCCAGAAAAACTGTTCGGTGCTGTGGATTATTTTTTAACATTTGAAAGATGAGGACTTTAATCCGTCTTTGTTGCAGATCTTTTGAGAAGACCTCCCGAATGTGCCCTCAAGTTATGCAAATGTAAAGCAAAGACTCTCTATGGAAGCTGTTTGAAAAGCTAAACTGTGCTTTGTTGTTGCAAATTGTTTTAAATTCTTGCTACTGTGTGTTTAAACTCGAGTTGGGTCTTTTCACAGGAATGGCTGTGGCTAGTTTTCTTCCAAATTATCCAAAGGCAAACACAGCTCATCTCTGTACTTATTTTCTTCTGAAGACCACACACTAGTCTCACGCGAAGAACTCATTTTCTTTCTATTAACATGACTTTATCTGTTCTCTTTGGGAAATAAAAATCTTTCTTTATTCTTCTAAAAGAGAATCTCCCCCCACCTTTTCTTTTCCTGGATGTGTTTCCATTTTACAAGTAGCTCTCATTCCACCTGAGAATGCCTCTGTCTGATTCATTTAGGATGGAAAATATCCTTTCTAATAGATTAACTTGTACCTCCAAATTTCTCTCCTAATTTGGTGATGGGGCTTGGAAGTAGGTGATGGAGGGTGACGAAGTACATCTCACCACACCACACTTATGTTATCAGTGTCAGTACTAGGATATTGAGTTGGTAGCACCATCATCCGAAAATATAAGTTTTTATGTTGTTATTGAGTGGTCTAGACAGTCTAAGGATTAGTGTGGAAAAAGCTAAGAGGTAAGAAAGTATAGGTTGAGGTATAAACAAGGCAGGGCTTGAGTTAGAGGTGGACATTCCATCTCTTGCTTAGTGGCTTAGAAATGTTCATTCACTAGCAACTTTTTGAGTCTGTACTACTTGTGACACAGTAATAGAGGTGCAAAGAGGCATCCTAGAAGAACATACAATGTATACAATGGACACACATTGTGTCACAGGAATAGGGCAAATGGTCAATACTACAGAAGTTCAGATAAGGAAGTAAACATGGAAGTTAAGGAAGTGAGTGAGAGGCTGGTCTTTAAAAGGTAAAGCTGGGGTAAAATGAGATGTTAGGGGAAATAGTCTACGCAGGAGGCACAAAGCAGATAAAGGTCTAACAGCAGGAAAACACTTCCACACAAAATTATTAACCATTTATTATGTCTTTTCATTTGTCATTTACTGCCTTTCCAGTGAATACAGTTAAAAAAAAAAGTATTACTCAATCTCGAGAGACAAGACAAAGAAACCAGTAGGGGACAGACAGGCCACGAAAAAGTGCCAGTTTGTTCAGCCATAAATTCGGACAAGAACAATTCTGCATAGAGCATGAGTAGAAGACAGGCGTTGGGATAAGACAGATCTAGGCTCCAAACTCAGATGTGCGCTACAAAAATAGCTGTGACCTTGTGAAAGTCTTACGACTCTAGTCTATGCTGTGTGCTATAAAAATGTCTCTAGTAAGGTCCAACATCTCAATTGTGGGGAGGATGAAATCATTGTGATGACCTGACAAAGAGCTTGACACGGGTGTCTTAAGTTCCTACCCTTTCCCCTTCCAAAAGCACCTACTCTTTTTCCTACAGTAGGAGTGAGATGTGTGGGGTGAGTTTTGAAGTGAGCAGAAAAGGAAGGATGAAGGGAGGCAACTTCCTCTCTGCCCTTCGCCCCCTCCCCACTGTACCAGCTCCCGACCTCAGGTTCCGGGAGAGTCACTGTGGAAATGGGCTGAGGGTACAGAAGTGGGGAGGGAGGATCTGCTAACTGTAAACACAAACGCCATCAAGAGTTCAGAGCCCGTCTGGCCACCGGATTTCCGTGCCACACTGAAGCCACCCCACCCATGCGCCTGCTCTCAGTTTCCCCAGCTGTGTAATGGGGATACATCATCTCCTCTCACTGCTATCCGCCTGACCTAACCGCGTGTGAAAGGCTAGAAGGAGCCCCCAGTCTTTGGCCTCCAGCCCCATCAGGTTCACCTCCCACTTTGGCTTTGGCCTTTTGTACCGGCCCCACGTGACCTGCCCGGCCCGCTCTTCCCTCCTTGCCCGCCCCGCCCTCCGGCCTTTCCCGGCTCTCGGCCCAGCTCTTCCCGCTCCTCAGCCGCCCTCCTCCCGCACTCCCTCTCCCTCCTCCTCCCCGTCGCCTCCCTCCCAGGCTGTTGCCGCTCCCTCCTCCAGGCAGCCGTTCCCTCGCGACGCTTCCCCTCCCCCCGCGGCTGTTCCGCCGCCTCGCCTCCCCTCCCCCCGGCCGGAGCTCACTGTCTCCAAGATGGCGGCCGTGTCAGTTTGGGGCATCTCCGCGGTCCGGCGCGGGGGCCTGGTATCCCGGCTCTCTTCCCCCGCGGTAAGTAGCTGAGAGGCCACCCCCGACCGCCCCCAGCCCTCGAGCCCGAGGCTGAGTCGCTCTGGGGCCCGCTCCGCCGCCTCGCGGGGTCGGCAGGCGGCTGCAGGCCCCGTCGCGGCCTGCGCCGCCTCCCGCTGCTCTGCGCCAGGCCTCGGGCTGGGGCGCCACGGCCGCCCCCTCGCGCCCGGTCGGCGCCCAGCTTACCCCGCCCCGCGGTCCGCGCGCCTCCGGTCCCAGGTTCCCGCCGCCCGCCCGCGAGCCGGGCCCAGCCGGTGGAGTCGGTGGGAGGGCAGGCGGCGAGCGGCCCAGGCCGCAGAGCCTCGGGCTGGGCTGTGCCGGCGAGCCCGCTCTCCCTCGGGGGGCGCGCCCACCTCCCCGGCCCCACCTGCGCCCGGCGGCCCGCTGCCCTGGCTGGGCCCGGCCCGGCCCCTCCTGCCCGCGCTCCCGGGCGCTCCCTCTTCGACTCCGGCCGGGCGTGCGGAGATCCGAGCGGGGCTGAGGCGGCAAATGGGGGTGACAGGCTGGCGGGTGTTGTGGTGCGGAGGAGGCAGCACGTGTGGTGTTGTGTCTGTCGGGCTGTCAGCCCGGACGCTGGGCGGGGAGGCGGCGGGCTGCTTGTCAGTCGGCGGCGGGTTTGGACAGGAGCTGCCGGACCTGTCAGGCTCCCCGGGCAGCCTGCGTGCCCCGAACCCTCCTTGGAACCCGCCTCTGTGGAGGAGCTGGGAATGGGGTGATACATTGCTCTTAACTCTTTCACGTGATTTCATTGTTAACTTAGTCCTCGGGTTCTGTTTCCATCTGATGGGAATGGCGAAGCCACCCGTTAGCAAGCTTCAGGGTTGTGCCGTTCCAAGTTTTTAAAGTTGCTCGCTCTTTAAACGGAGAGCGCGAAGATGTGTTTGTGGGTGGGGAATGGAGGCCGGGGAAGGACCGTCGGAAGCCAGTTGTGCTTTCTCTCTCGCCGCTGTTGTACTTGCAGTGAGTTAAAGTTCAAGTCTGCAGGCCCTTTACTTTTCGTAAGACCTGGAGACTGGTGAAAATCCCGGCCTGAGAGACAATGAGTAACTGTCATTCATTCTTTTACCTGCGAGCTCAATCAATTAGGACGTTCCCAGCTTCATAAACTCAGGTTGCAGCCTCTTATTTAGTTTAGCGTTAATATCTACATAATGAACTTTCGTGGATTAATAATAGTAGTATGATTTCTGTTCTCCCGAGACTCTCACCAAAATGAAGCATAGCTCTCAGGGGGGCTTCTTTTTAGCCAGCTAATTTAAAAATAAGTCTTGGCTCAGGTTTGAGTGTTTACTTCAGCTTTTTGTTTCCTATCAGAGTTAATAGTACTATCCCTTTCCTAATACCTGTTAGTTTTCCTTTGGATTTTTATTTTACTCTTAAGAATAATTGCTATGGGAGCTATTTTTCTAGCATTGTTTATGTTGTAAGTGCTTCTCAGAATAAGAGCAGAGGTCTAAAAAAACACGTAAGTAAAATTAAATTTATTTTTGAAAGCCGAGGAGTTATTTAGATTGAAAATTCATTATTTTGATGATTTTTAAAAAGATTTGTATCTGCCAGGTTCATTTGTCTGAAAGAAGAATATTGACTCTGATCCTGGAGAGGCAGTATATTTATGTTTGTGTTTTATTCATTAATGTTCATTTCAGGACAGCAATCTTGAATCGTTATGAGAGCTCCTTTTTAGACCCGCAAACAGGGAATACATTTTTTTCTGTAGTGTACATTTGATATGTAGTGTGTGCATTTGAACATAGTGATTTTGGGCCTTTCTCATTTCTAAGTTTCCCTATCTGTAGATTAGTCATGAGCATTTTGACAGTTGTTGCTCCCTCCAAGTACTTTAGTTTGGCTTAGGAGATGCTCTCAGAATGTAATTCTTAAAATTTGAGTGAAATTGGATTATTTAAAAATTCCTTAAGCACTTTTCACACTTGACTACTTTACATATTATTTTTATTTTCATTTGGAATGTTTATATTGCACTTAAAATATGAACTTGATTTGTGTGTGTAAATTATATTTGTTGTTTCTTTAATATATGAAATAGTTAAAATTTTCTCAATTGTTTTCTGCCTTTTTTGTCGATTGTTTCATCCAGTCTGAATGTCTGGAATTTTAAAAGATGAAAGATTCACTCTTACTTTCATTACAGGATTCTTTCTACTAATCCAGATACTTGTTGAAGTGCTGAATAGTTTCTTGGGGAAAGATGTCAAGGAAGAGTTTCAATTAATAGACTGGTGAGCAGAGATTATGGCGTACAGAATAGCCAGCACCCTCTGGTTAGTTGTAGTGTAAGGCCATTCACAGTGCATCTCATTTTGTTTCCTCATTGTATCCTAATGATTCATTTCTTTTCTTTTTTATCCCAATGGTTTACTACATACATGATTGTTTTGGAATGTTGTTAGAAACATGTTGAAATTCCTATAGGTGCTAAACAAACACTTGCTATTTGATTGCTTTTAAAGACTAGGATGTTTCAGTTATAGCTTATTTGCAAGTGGGCCTTGATAAAAAACTAACTTTGTTTTCGTTGTTTTTCAGGCATAAGATAAACATTCTTCTGCTGGGAATGACATGTTCTTGAATTTTTACAACTTTATGAAGAGACCCATATGTGGTGCTATTGAGAAATTTATTGGGAAGTTTGAAGACATTTCAAATAACTTGGTGGTTGTGGTTTCTAAAGTAAAGTGGGGAGGCATCTATTTTGTGAAAGGAGGAAGAACTTAGGCCAGAAAACTTGTATGCTATGGTTAACTGGTTCTCAGCCTCCGAGAATGTTGTTTTCCATGGTGTAAAACTTACTCAGCATCAGGATAAGGGATAACGACTCTATGGATATACGAATCCTTCACCATGGTAAAACTCGCTAACCCGCTGTATACGGAATGGATTTTGGAGGCCATCAAAAAAGTGAAGAAGCAGAAACAGCGTCCTTCAGAAGAAAGGATATGCAATGCAGTGTCTTCATCCCATGGCTTGGATCGTAAAACTGTTTTAGAACAATTGGAGTTGAGTGTTAAAGATGGAACAATTTTAAAAGTTTCAAATAAAGGTCTCAATTCCTATAAAGATCCTGATAATCCTGGTCGAATAGCACTTCCTAAACCTCGAAACCATGGAAAATTGGATAATAAACAAAATGTAGATTGGAATAAACTGATCAAACGGGCAGTTGATGGCTTGGCAGAATCTGGTGGCTCAACTTTGAAAAGCATTGAACGTTTTTTGAAAGGTCAGAAGGATGTGTCTGCATTATTTGGAGGCAGTGCTGCCTCTGGCTTTCACCAGCAGTTACGATTGGCTATTAAACGTGCCATTGGCCATGGCAGACTCCTTAAAGATGGACCTCTTTATCGGCTCAACACTAAAGCAACCAATGTGGATGGGAAAGAGAGTTGTGAGTCTCTTTCCTCTTTACCTCCAGTGTCACTCCTTCCACATGAAAAGGATAAGGTGAGAATGGTATATGCATCAGTGTTCATAGAGCTGATGATGTAGCATGCTACAAAGTCACGTTTCTAGGAAGTTATATAGAAGTTACACAAGTTTTGTGTTTGGAGACTTGTGGAATGATGATCACCTCTGGTTTTTTTACTGGTGAGTTCTATGTATGAGAACTCAATAGATGCTAATTGTTCTGATACTTTGAAATATTTGATGCCTAAGATTCAAAGTGTATATTGATCAACCTAAAAGAACATGTTTAGATTAGAATTAAAAAGTAGCACACAACTTTAAAATTGTTGCATAAAAGTTCTTATATCTTACTGCTCGAAGTTGATGAACAGCCAAATGCTGGAGACTTGAATTTGAGACAAGTGACTCTAAGAACCTGTCATCTTTTTTCCATTTTGTTGCATTTTATCATTACACAGGAATGAGACCAATTCTCCTGACCCATAGTAGTAGTTAAGCAAATTTAGCAATTCTTATTTCTACTGTTTATAGTCTAGCTTTCTGTCATGTATTTTTTCCATGTGACAAGGTGCTAAATGTTACTGTTTATGACAGGTGTGACTACATGGGTCAGGAATACAGTATCCTATATTAGTAAAGTTCTGGGGAGTTGGGAATTTTGATGCACATATGGTATACGTTACTGTGCTGTGTGTTTTATGCTGTTATTTTGTGCATTTTGGCCCTTAAATAGAGGCCCTTAAATAGATATTCAGGGATGAGGAGAATTTTGTTAATAGCTGTTTCTTACATTGACCTAGTGTCCTAGCTGTAATTTTATTTCAATTGCTCTGAATTGTAGTTCTGTGGAAAGTGGTAGTAATTTAAGTTGTTGTGCACCTTAGTATACAATAGTAAAATAATCTTCATTTTGCTTAAGACCATGGAGGCTGCTTCTAGGATGAGAAGATTGTAAAGTTAACATTGAATGTGTTTAAACAGATTTGCTCTAAATTTACTGTAGTGTATAACCCACCTATAGATTTTTGCTTAAATAGCAATTGAAAATTAACACTATTTTTCTTTGATGAAGTTTTTAGAGATCTGTTTTAGGGTTCAATTTTTTCTGTGAACTTGAAATAGAAACATTATCTTACTGTTATTACCCTTAAAATGATTCCAATAGAGAATCCCATTCATAAAATGGCTCTGTATTTTAAGCATTTAAGAGTGTGTTATCAAAAATTTTAAGGTGGACAAGTAACTAAAATGCTTTATTCTGTTGTTCAGTGCTGTAAAAACTCTTAATCTGTGAGAACTGCTTCTTGATCACATATGGCTTAAGTGAAATGAAATATAGCAATTGATTCCTACAACTGTTAATCAGATGATCCACAGGTTAACTGCAAGGAAACGGAATAATTTATAGTTTAGAATGAATTCACTGTCATATCTGTGAATTGGATATTATAAATTCTTGTTAGAACACCTGGGTGCTTGCTTTTATTATAAATTCCCTTGCTTGAATTAGCTATTTTAATTTTTAAAAATATTAACTATACATAAAGTGACAGTTGTGCATATTACTAAAAGGTAATCAATATAGTGCAATGTAGGCCAAATCAGAGCCCTATCAACTTAGGGCTTTATTCTCGAAAGAGACCTTGAGAACCATCTAACCTAACAATCCTTATTTTGCAGCTGAGCTGAGATCTTTGCATTAAAAAAAAAAATGTTTAATCCAGCAAAGATCTGCTGGTGTGCTATGGTTAGAAATGTCTCTTTGGTTATGTAACTTTAATATATAGTGTTGTTAACCAGTGTAACTAAATTTGGAGTATACATTTGAGAAAGTTGAATTTTGTTGAGCAGACTCTTATGTATGTGTTCTGGTCTTATTGGAAAATTGATTTCATGATAATATCTACAGAATTAGGATTGAAGAGATCTGTTTATATTTTTAAATGGAGTCTTATTTTCAATAGTGAATTCCCTGAGAGACTTTCCCCAAAGATATGAAAAGCTCACATTCAGAGTCATTAGAGTGAACTCTAACGTGAGGAATTATTCTTCCTTTGAACAGACGACAGTGTATGTCTTCCTTTTATTGTATTTTAACTACTTTCTCTCTCTTTTTAAAACTTTCCAGTGGATTCCTATGTGGAATCGATTGGCTTGCTGTTATGAACCTAGATATTTTTTAAAAATTTACCCAGTGTATTTTTGACAGTGATGGAGAAAGGAAAGTGTAGGCCAGAAGTAGTTTCGCTTTTAGGCATTAATTCCTCAAATAGTTATTATTGGGCACCCACTGTGTTCCAGGCACTCTGCTTAGAACTGAAATGGCTTGGAACTGAAATGGCTTGGAACTGAAATGATGTTATGTTCTGTGGAATGCAAATGTATCTATTGGTTTGGTCACTGTGGGTTGAGAGATGAAATTCAGGGACAATATGGAGTGATGAGCAAGTTCCTCTTTTTTCTATATCATTTCTAACTTTTTGTTTGTTTATTTTTTGCTATATTAACCTTTGGAAGGTATTGTAGACCTGCATCTTCGATTTTCAGCAACTGAGTGGTGTTTGCTCTTTTTGATAAGATCAGCTGGGTAGAAATATTTTTGAGAGTTTTTGTGAAGACACCTGAATTTAAGTGTGTTTTCACATTGATAATGAGGACACTGGGATACTGTGATTTTAAACTTTTATCCATGTTCTAAGGGAAATTTCTGAGCTAGCTTTAGGTTGTGGTAGTTAATAGTGGGTTTATTTAACTTAATGATGTATTTACTATGTGCCAGGTACTACTTTAAAGCTATACAAATATTAACTCAATCTTCATACAACTCAATGAGGTAGGTACTGTTATTTTGCAGATGAAGAAACTGAAGCGTAAAAGAGGTTCTGTAACTGTCCAAGTCAAAGATATTAGGAGACAGAGCTAGGAATTGAATTTGGGCAGTCTGGCTCCAGGTTCAGTGTAATAGCTATAGCTGCTGCCTCTTGGGAATTGTTATGTATAATGCTCATCACTGCACTCATATGCACAGTTGTGAATGTTTTTGGTGTTAACTTCATAGCACATTCTTTAATTGTGAAAGGCCATATTCCTCCCTCCCCCACCCCTTCATTGTTTGGGTCCCTTTTTTCTCTTCCCATCATAGAATAAGTTATAAAACTGACTTTGAACCAGTGATAAAAGTATAAGAAACCAAAATTATGAACAGTCTATTGTAGTTTTTATCCTATTAAAAAATAGCTTGTTTACATGATATTTTGTTTTACTTTTTTCTTAAAGAGAATTTCTAAGTTTGTTAATTTTTATTTCAGTCGTCGCTGAAGTTTTATCATTTGCAGTTTGGGATTGGTTGCATGGCTGTAATAGAATGCTTTCATTTGGGAATAATGTTGCTTTCCCTTGAATTTTGGGTATAGTGTGTAGCTGGCATAAATAGCAACTTCCTCCTTGTAAATTTTTTTTGAAATATAGATATTACTGTAAGATAATTTATTTCATTTATTCATTATTCATTCAGCAAACATTTAGGTGTCTACCATGAACAGTGCATATAGGATTTAGGTCCTGTTGGGGATTAAGGCAGACAGCATATAGACAGCATAGAGTCCAAATTATTTTATTACCGGAATTTGGCATGTTAAATTCATGGGATAAGTGTGTTTTTGACAGGAACTTAGATTTTTGATGTAGAGATGCTCATTAGAATGGAAATATGTTTTCAACTTATTGAGAGTTAAAAATGATAAAGTTTTGATTTAGCTACTTGGAAATAGCCTTTATGGTAAAATTGTTCACATTTTATATGTTACAGTAGTGGTATTATAAAATTGTTTACACATGTAAGCTTAATCTCAATTTCAGATATCTTGTTGCCATGATGCTTTATAGTAATTGTCCATGCTATTAAATTCGGACATGTTGACTGCTTGACAGAATGATTGTTCACTTAAAAAACAAAACAAAAGAAACAACCCCTATACCATCTGAAAGCAAAAGATGCTACAAAAAAATTGAGAAGAGATAAATTAGTAGCAAATAAGTGGAAAAAGTTCTCAATCTAAAGTATATATTTTATGCTCTCATAAAAGTTTTATGAGAGCATACACTTCCTTGTATACACTTTTTTTTTTTTTTTTAGCTGAGTGAACAGGCAGCTCAGTGGCAGCTCAGCGGCAGCTCAGCGGCAGCTCAGCGGCAGCTCAGCTCGGGCCGGGAATCGAACCGCTGTTGCTCGGAACTCATACTCTTGAGCGAGCTCTTAACCAACTGAGCCACTCGGCTGGCCTAAGCAAGTGTATTTTATAGAATGATTATTGGGATACTTTATTTTTTGGGGAAACTTTGAAATTACAAGTTTTTATTCTTAAGTTATAAAGGAAGCAATGCGGGATGATGCCAGCATATCAGTTTTTAAGTAAAGAAGGATTATTTTGGAGAAAGTTATCCTAACCATATGTAGTGGACCTCATTTTTCAAGTCATGGCAAGGACACAGTGACATGGATAATGTAGATTTTGTAATGTTATTGAGTTTACAACTGATTGATCTCAATAATTATATTTTTTATACATTTCTTACATCATTGTTTATACCAGTTTTTGGTAACTAAATGTTCTACACCCTGAGGAGAAGCTAGCTAGAAATAAAAACTTGTTACTAACAAGTCATTGAAGTACCGTATTTGCCGGCGTATAAGACGACTCGGCGTATAAGACGACCCCCTAACATTTCCACTCAAAATACAGAGTTTGTTATATGGTCGGCTGTGTGCGATTTTGCGAGTGTGGTAAAATCGCATAACAGCAAAATCGCATAACAGCCGAGCATACACCCAGCAGCGCTGCTGATGCCTGAACGGTATGTGGAATGAAGTGGGCGGGCATTGGGAGGCCACTATGCCCGGGGCAAGCACTATGGACAGTCTATCTAAAGTGTACCTGGCGTATAAGACGACCCCCCACTTGGAGGCATATTTTTCAGGGCCAAAAAATCGTCTGATACGCCGGCAAATACGGTAGATTAAATATAAATGTGATTTG